CCAGGAAAGGGCACAGAGGTCCGGGCCCCCAGGGCGCACCCCCTCCAGGCCAAAGCCAGACAGGCCCAGAGGCCCCGAACCTTCAAAATAAACTTCAAAATATGATGTCCCTTTGGTGGCCTGGATGTAGTTTGATGGAAGTGGTCCATGCATGTGCCAGCACCACATAAACCAAAGCACAATCGGGCCAGTTGTGGCATTTCATCTTAAAACAGTGCCATAACTGCCAGACCTGGCCCACATCCTGTCAACAAATCACTTGCCATGCCAACAGTGCCAACTGAACACCAGATTTGGCCCAAACCTTTCGGCTAAATGGGTTACTTTGAGCATAAAAAAGTTTACGTATTTATGTTCATACAGTATTATTTACAGATCAAGTCTTGACTTATAGCAGTCCTTGTGACCCACTATCCTCTTTTAGTTTGTTCCCTGCTTTGGCACACCTGATTTAAATGAACGAGCGATTGGCAGGCTTCTGCAGAACTTAAAGACCTGCTGAAGAGCAGAGAAACAACTAAAACATGAAGGGTAGTGGGTTACAAGGACCGGAATTGAGAACCACTGACTTATACATAAACGACTCCAGGATCTTCATGGTGGTTAGAGTGATGGAACGTGAACATAAAATTCAGAAAATCGGATGTAAACACGCTGATTCAAACGTTTACACAATATCAAAGCTTTACGGAACACCAGAGGGGAAAGCTGGTCTTGTCAGCAGCTGTACGGCAGGCAGATGTTTCCAGATGTGCTGTCCAAGCTCCTCTGCTGTGGCACAAAGAATCAAGTGGTCAGACAAGGAAACAGGGTTGAAAATAATAAAAGGAAGCAGCTGGTGTGGACTGATCTGAAACATTTGTCTCTTACCGTTTTTGCCGCTGAGGAGATCTAAAAAGGCTGTGAGGATAAGTGACAGCAGGCAGCAGTAAAGCACGATGGAGATTCATGTCAATTTTAGGAGCGCGTTTATGCAAATTGAGCTGGAAGCGTCGTTTAAATCAGCAGTGGGTTTAGCGCTGAGAAGCACCGTCTCATCCATCACACAGTGGAAGAGGAGAGACAGCTGATTGCTCACAGAACACGAGGAAGCCATCAAATGTTTTTAAAAATGTCAATTCTCGCAAAAGTTTTACATATAAATTTACAGTTAATATACTGCAAGTAATATACTCTCTGACTTGAAATCTAACTTTAACTACACTCTCAGTCAAACACGAGCAAAGTTTGCTTTGCCAAAACAATAAAACAACTAAAGCATTTGCGTGACAGACTTTCTGAACCAGACAGTCTCTATCTRTCTGCTCTTTATCTGACTCACTCTTTGTCTCTGTCCTGCCTGTCGCTTGCTTTCCTTTGATCCACGCTTTTTTCTCACCAACATTTGCGCTCTCTCCCTCTTGATCTCATTGCCTGTGTTTCATTTCAGCCTCAGCTCACCAACCTTCCACAAACCCCAGACACACACGCGGAGATAGTCGCAGCAGTGTAGAGCACAGACGGGTTTAGTCGAAAGTCTCTGATTTCAACCAGTTTCTACTTGAGCTGAAACATAATCATCTGAAATTACTTCCTGATCTACCCTGCAGTCGTTGCCTCAGTCCTATTTTTCATTTCTAACCTGTGTCCACACACACACACACACACACACACACACACACACACACACACACACAC